GCAGAAACTGGAGGAGACAGGGAAACAGACTTTCCTCTAAACCCTCCAGAAGGTGCGAGGCTGTGAACTCATTTTAGGTTTCTGACCTCTAGGACTGTAAGAGAATAAATTTATGTTGTTCTAAGCCAGTAAGAGTGTGATAATTTGTTTCAAAAAATTATCTTATCCAGGGTAGCAAATGAAAACAATAGACAAAAGTACTTTGAAACTGGTAGGAAATCATATAAATGGAAAATATTATTATTCCAAGGTGACATCTCAACTTAGTCTCTCTAGCAGCCTCCCCGGGATCCCACCACCCCACCCGAGGGTCTCACTCTGTCTGTCATCCAGGCTGGAGTGCAGTGGTGCAATCAGGACTCACTGCAGCCTGGACCTCCCAGGCTCAGGTGATCCTCCCACCTCAGCCTCCTGAGTGGCTGGAACTACAGGCACACACCACCACCATGCCCTGCTAATTTTTGTGTTTTTTGTAGATACGGGGTTTCACCATGTTGCCCAGGTTGGTCTCAAACTCCTGGGCTCAAGAGATCTGCCTGCTTCAGCCTCCCAAAGGGCTGGGATTACAGGTGTAAGCCACTGCACGAGGCCTCTCTAGCAGCCTTGATAGCAGGCAGTATGGTTGCTGGGAGGTCTTTCCCTGTCAAAGGCAGATGCCCTGTCCTTGTTTCAGTGCCTGACCATTTATTTTGCTTTTAGTTCTCATTTTATTTGTGAAGTAGAGTTGATTACCATGTAATTATCAAACCAGTTCTAGCCACCTGCCTTTCACCTTCCCTAGTTTCTCCTCAATTACTCATTATTCTGGTCTTCTCAAACGGATGGTTAAGAAAACCTTTTTTCAGGGTACTAGGCTTAATACCTGGGTGATGAAAGAGTCTGTACCACACACCCCCATTACACAAATTTACCTATATAACAACCTGCCCAAACCCTAAACTTACAATCAAAGTTACATAAAAACAAATGCTTTTCAGAATCATAGTATTACTGCAAAATTATGTACAGATAATTCCAGCTTTATTAATGAGAATTCTCTAAAAACAACTGTGCAAAGCTGTATGCTCACTATGTAACTAAATATATACATATACATATATCTCAATACATATTATGTTTATAGTTTTCTCATCAGTTTGAATGCAATGGATTCTCTTCCATGGCTTAAATTATCTTCACACTTGATCTTAGCCAAAGTGCCAAGAAGCAATTAAATTATCTTTATGAAGTTGAATAAAAATTTCAGGGTTAGACCATCCTTACTAATCCCCAATTTACAAAATAATCTAGTAATGAAAATCTGAGTGTTGTATCAAGGGTAATAAGACACACAAATTCTTGTTTTTAAGTCTTTTTTTTGTTGTTGTTTTTAAGTCTTTAAAAATTAACATTCACAAAGTTGAACTGATGCACAACATTTATAAATGGATTAATCTTTCTGATTTTTATTTTATTATTATTGTATTTTTTTTTTTGACACAGGGTTTCATTCTGTTGTCCAGGTTGGAGTGCAGTGGCGGGATCATGGCTCACTGCAGTCTCCATTCCTGGGCTCAGGTGATTCTCCCACTTCAGCCTCTCCAGTAGCTGGGACTACAGGCATGCGCCACCATACCCAGCTAATTTTTATATTTTTTGTAGAGACAGGGTTTCACAATGTTGGTCAGGCTGGTCTCAAACTCCTGGTCTCCAGTGATCCACCCGCCTTGGCCTCCCAAAGCGTTAGGATTACAGTTGTGAGCCACTGCACATGGCCAAACCTATTTTTTATTACAGTTTATTTACTATTTTTATATTTCTTATTGCTATCCCTTTACCTTTGACTTTTAGGGATGGTATTTCTGTGCTTACTGATAATATCCTCAAGTTATTAGAGCTTCGCATCTAAACATTTTAAATTTGTGCTTAGCTTTTTTCCTAAAAGAAAAAAAAAAAAAGCAGATTTGGGAGAAAAGATGGGAGAATACCGTAAGCACAAATATATATACAATGCACACACACACAGCAGCACACCAAATTACTATATATCCTGGGCTTCTGGAATGCTTTCTAGGTGAAGTGGGCCCAATGTTGAGAGACATAATAATCTGTACTTCAACTGTACATTGAATTAGATTAAAAAAAAAATCTAATTTAGTAACAATATAAAAAAGATTCCAAATAGGGAGATAGTTCCCATTTATTAAGCACTGGCCAGAAGTAGATTCTTCAACTCATATTTTCATGGTGTTTGGAAATTATGGCCAACTCTTACTTTTATCTTCCAAAAGATAATTCCAATTAAAATATCACACAGTAGGGCAGTGTTGTCTATGGGATTTTACAAGGCTGTAAAAGCACTACTATGTTACTGTAAGTATATTAATAATAAAATAATGAAAACAATAGGCAAAAGTACATTATTTGACAGTAATTTCATGTCACTGAAGATAGTAAAAAAAAATTTGGGAGTTGGGCACCGTGGCTCATGCCTGTAATCCCAGCACTTTGAGAGGCTGAAGTAGGTGGATAACCTGGGGCCAGGAGTCCAAGACCAACCTGGGCAACATAGTTAAGACCCCGTCTCTATGAAAAATAATAAAAAAAAATTAGCTAGGCATGGTGTACAGGGCTGCAGTCCCAGCTACTCAGGAGGCTGAAGTGGGAGGATCGCTTGAGCCCATGAGGTCCAGGCTACAGTGAACTATGATGGTGCCACTGCATTCCAGCTTGGGTGATAACAGCAAGACCCTGTCTCAAAAAAAAAAAAAAAAAAAAAAAAAAATTCTGGGTTGTATTTCAGGGTTAGGGGCTTTTCTCATTTCTTTATTTCTAGTGATTAGTATTTCATTTTATAAAAGTATTAGTTGGCCGGGCATGGTGGCTCACGCCTGTAATCCCAGCACTTTGGGAGGCCGAGGCGGGTGGATCCAGACGAGGTCAGGAGATCCAGACCATCCTGGCTAACACAGTGAAACCCCATCTTTACTAAAAATACAAAAAAATTAGCCGGGCGTGGTGGCGGGTGCCTGCAGTCCCACCTACTCAGGAGGCTGAGGCAAGAGAATGGCGTGAACTCGGGAGGCGGAGCTTCCAGTGAGCCAAGATCGCGCCACTGCACTCCAGCCTGGGTGACAGAGCGAGACTCCGTCTCAAAAAAAAAAAAAAAAAAAAAAAAATTATTAGTCTATGACTTATTGGAAAAACAAAAGTGGTCTTGTACCACAGGCAGCTTGAGAAGCACTGTTAACAGACGTGCTGGCATCTAGAAACTAATGTGTGCCAGCACTGTAAAACAACATGCAAAGTATTTACTCCAACTTATATTAAAATATGAACCTTCAAGCCATGTATAAAATGAACTTAAATTACCAGGACTTAATATGGTTCCATCTCTTAAGATTAATTTCACCAATCCTAGGTCCAAAAGATACATATAATAAAAGGATAGAAAAATTTCAGAGCCCAACTACGTAACTTATTTACCTCTGCCAGATATATTCCACCATTTTGACTTGTATTAATATATACTTCACTTTAGAAGTTAGTTTTATATACAAGAGAAAAAAATAACTGTAAAAGTTTAATAAAATGAGTTAGTTATAAAAGTTTCAGAGTCTATCCCTTCCTCCCACCCCCAAAAACCCTGAAAATATAAAGAATCATGGTCTAATCCCTGATCATTTGACCAACTGGATGACAAGACTATCATCCAAGATTCCTTACAAAGAACCACAGCTATACATCCCAAAGAATCAAACGCAGGTGCTCAAACAAATCCTTGTATGTGAATGCTTGTAGCAATACTATTCATAATAGCCAAAAGACAGAACAATTCATATGTCTGTCAACAGATGAATGGATAAGCAAAATGTCGTATATCCATATAGTAGAATGTTACTCAGCCATAAAAAGGAATGTAAAACATTCGAAATAAAATACATACTAAGATATGTATGAACCTTAAAAACACGCTGAGTGAAAGAAGACAGACACAAAAGGTCACATATTATATGATTCTATTTGTATGAAATATCCAGGATATGTAAACACATACAGACAGCAGATTGGTGGTTGTCAGTGACTTGGGCACAGGGTTTTATTTGGAGTGATGAAAATATTTTGGAACTAGAGTTGTATTATATTGTATTATATATACGTGTAATATTGTGAATGCATCAAATGCCTCTGAAATGGTTAATTTTATGTTATGTGAATGTCACCTCAATTTTAAAGAAAGAGTCATAGTTATTGATGTGCTGTTATCTCAGTATTGACTGCTTATCCTGTTGATTACCACCACCAATACAATATGCTTTTGCTATTCTCTAAAAATTCACTCCATCACACATACCAAACTATATCAGGATTTATAGGTGGGGAAGGCCATTTACTATTACATAGTATGAATAAAATGGGAAATGAGGAGAACTTCAGAAATGATAAAAAATAAATATTAGTGACAGAAAAAGAAAATTAGGGAATAGGGAAGAGGAAACTAAAAACAAAGAAATACTGAGGACTCATCGCAAATCAGAACGAAACCATTACAAATGAAGTCTGACTCCAGAAGGAAAAAAGATGGCAGTTGTCAATGGTGATGGAGTATCTGTATATTTATATAGATTAGAAAGTGATGAAATACCTAAAAAAGAAGAAAAAGGCTTTGGGGCCAGAGAGATATTCTCAATGTACCTATAAATTTATAAGGCAAAAAGTCCCACAACTCTCCTCCCCAAGTCAAACAAACAAAAGTTCTCCAACCCCTTATTACACGGGAATTTATAGACTAAATCAAGACCTACTCAGTTACTCATCTTGGGAACCATATACTTATTTTTATTGAAACTCCACTTTGGGGTTATCTTCAAAGATTTTTAAAAAGATTAGTTTTGTTACTTCACATTCATAACACCTTTTAACCCAAAACGTTACTCCAGCCGTTTCTCTTAATAGCAGTTTTTCAGTGTGTATCATTAAAATATTAAACTCAGATTAATCACTCATAAAACTATACTTACATATTCCTTCACGTTTTTTGTTTTCACAGCTTTGTATGAATAATATGCAGGATAAAGCATTCCAAACACCAGCCTAAAAGTAAAAAAAAATGAGAATACTGTTCAAACACAACAATGCCCTGCAGAAAGGCTGATCCATTTTACATTCCTATACGTTGCCGATCATCAGCACCATCGTTAGGGAAAAAAACAAAACAAAACAACAACAACAGAAAAAACTTTTGAGAGCTAAATAGGAGAAAAACAATAACTTTATAGCTATTTTAATGTGCATTTCTCTTTTTTTTTTTTTTTTCTGAGACAGGGTCTCCTGTCGCCCAGACTGGAGTGCAGTGGTGTGGTATCAGCTCACTGCAGCCTCCGTCTCCCAGGTTCAAGCGATTCTCATGCCTCAGCCTCCCGAGTAGCTGGGATTACAGGCGTGTGCTACCATGTCTGGCTAATTTTTGTATTTTCAGTAGAGACAGGGTTTTGCCATGTTGCCCAGGCTGTCTCAAACTCCTGAGCTCAAGCAATCTGCCTGCCTCCGCCTCCCAAAGTGCTGGGATTATAGGCACAAGCCACAGCACCCGGCCTAATGTGTGTTTCTGAATACCAGTACATTTGAAATTTTTCAAGTGCTTACTGGCCTTTTGATGAGTATATGATAACTTTTTGTCTATTTGTTTTCTGTTGTTTTAAATGGCCATTTTTGGAGAATATTTTACAGAAAAGTTGGAAAGACAGTACAGATAGTTCCCATATACTCCATATCCAGTTTCCCCTATTATTAACATCTTATATTGGCATGGTACACTCATTGCAATTAATGTACCAGTGCTGACTTTTGTTTATGAATTAAACTTTATTTAGGTTTCCTTAGTTTTTACCTAGTCTCCTTTCTCTGTTCTAGGATAGCACATTACACTCAGCTGCTCTCTTAGCTTTTTTGGCTGTAAATTTCTCAGACTTTGTTTTTTTTCACCTTGACAGTTTTCAGGCATGCTGGTCAAGTATGTTGTAGGATGCTTCTCTATTCATTCTAATCATGATTAGAGTGAGATATGGGTTTTTGGGAGGAAAACCACAGAGGTCAAATGCAATTCTTATCACATTATATCAAGGACACAGTCTATCAACCTGACTTATCAGTGCTGTTAGTCTTGACCACCACACTGAAGTAGGGCTTTGTCAGATTTTGCTGCTACTCTTTTTTGTTCACTTTTTAGTACTGTATTATTTGGAAAGAAGTCACCATGCACAGCCCATGCTTGAGTGGGGAGTTATTCTGTACACCTTGAGAGTGGAGTGTCTACATAAATTCCAGATAATTTAGTTGGAATTCTGCATGGGAGACTTGTGTATTCTTCCCCAGTATCAGTATGGATTAATGGATATTTATTTTATACACTGGGTTATAATCTAGTGTTACTTTATTTTGTTGCTCAAAGTTTTGGCCATTGGGAGATATTTCAGTTAGCTCCTGTGTCCCTTTGACATATCTCCATTGTTGTGAGGGTTTTTGAGTACTTTGTTACTTTTTGGTACTAAGTGATGCTCCAGGCTCATCTTGTATACAGTAGTCCCCTGTTATCTGCAATTTTGCTTTCTGCAGTCTCAGTTACCTGCCGTCAACTTCAGTTTGAAAATATTAACTGGAAAATTTTGGAAATAACTCATAGGTTTTAAATTGCATGCTATTCAGAGTACCATAATGAATTCATGCGTGATCTTGCTCTATTCTGCCGAGAATGCAAATCATCCCTTTGTTCAGTGTATTCATGCTGTATACATTACCTTCCCTGTAGTCGCTTATTCTTAGTAGCTGTTTTGGTTATCAGATAAAAAAAATACGGTATACATAGGCTTTGGTGCTATCCATGGTTTCAGGCATCTACCAGGAATCTTGGAACATATTCCCCTCTGATAAAGGGGAATGCCTGCCCCATTCCTGGAATCAGCCATTTCTACAAGGAGCCCCAGTTCCTTTTATTGGAGAACAGTATTTGAAACCAAGATCTGGGAGTTAAGTGTGCTCATTGCTACTGGAATGTTGTTGATTCTAGGTCCTTGTCTATTTTACATGTTAATCAATATTTTTGTAGGTTATTATCTTTTGATTTAATTTACGAATTTTGCAGAAATGCATGCATATTGTATTAGTGTGCTAGGGCTACCCTGACAAAATACCACAGACTGGGTGGCTTCAACAACAAAAATTTGCTTTCTCACAGTCCTGGAGGCTACAAGCCCAAGACCAAAATGTTGGCAGATTTGGTTTCTTCTGAGGCCTCTTTCCTTGGCTTGTAGCCTTCTAGCTGTGTCCTCACATAATGGTCCCTCAGTTTGTGTGTGTGGCCTAATCTCTTCTTAGAAGGAAGCCAATCATACTGGATTAAGGCCTTTCCTAAAGACCATACCTGATCTTAATCACACCTTTAAAGAACTTAACTCCAAATGTCACCACATTCTGATGCACAGGGGTTAGGACTTCAATATATGAATTTTGGGGAGACAGAATTCAGCCCATAACACATATATATTTGTGAACCTTTAAAGTAAGTGTTTGCATTTACGTAAGTCTTCCTTACACTGCAGCAAATATTTACATCTCTCCATATTTTTAGTTCATTTATAGTTAGTTTGTTTACCGACTGATTGACTGATTGGTGCAGAGGGTAGTACATGCCTGGTAGCTTCCTTATCCATCGGTTTGGGGCTTATGTCAACAAGTCACAGGAAGAATACCAAGTCTTCTCTTGCTTGGGATTTTATACTTACCAACTAGAGGCCACATCATTAACAATCTCTGCCTTAAGGCCGAGAGCAGTGGCTCATGCCTGTAATCCTAGCACCTTGGGAGGCCGAGGGGGACGGACTACCTGAAGTCAGGAGTTCGAGACCAGCTTGGCCAACATGGGGAAACCCTGTCTCCACTAAAATACAAAAATTAGTGGGTATGGTGATGTGTGCCTGTAATCCCAGCTACCCGGGAGGCTGAGGCAGGAGAATCGCTGGAACCTGGGAGGCGGAGGCTGCAGTGAGCTAAGATCGTGCCTGGGCGACAGAGTAAGACTCCATCTCTAAAAAAAAAAAAAAAAAAAATCTCTGCCTTATTTAACAGTATTACCTGTGAAAGCGACTTCACTAAAGTGCCAACCCCCAGACTCTGGATACAGGATTTTTAGCTGTGCCACAAAGCTTGGGGCTTTTCAGTTTAACTTAGCATCCCCACTACCCCTCCATTGCACAGGAGCTTTTCAGTTTAGAGACATCTAAGAAAACAACTAACTAGGTGTAAACAAGAACAAAATTCCCAGTCTGCTGTGTGTTCATCCACACTGCTTACACTAGATATAAACCCAAAGTTATGTTTTACATATTCAAGCTAATTATTTTAATTCACTTTATATTTCCCTTTAGAACTTGGATACAATCAAAGTATTATCTTCTGTATTCCCATACAATCTAGTACCATCAGATTTACATTCAATGTGGGATTCTTCACTTCTATCACTGAATGGGGCTTTGATACCTCCTTCCCCCAGTACAACATTCTTCCCAGTCTGTAACCTACTCCTGGTGGTTCTCCCTTGGTGAGAGTACATGCATCCATTCTCTTGTTTTATTTTCAAACTCGTGGCCAATAATACATTTGGGCTCATGCCATCTCATCGGACTTACTGAATAGTTTCCCAACACATTCCTCTATGTCCATTGTCAGATCAGTCTTTCTAATATACCTGCAGCACTGCCTCACTTAAAGACTTCACTAGCGGGCCTCCTCACCCCTTGCTGGCCAGCCCGTCTGGGGGCGGCATCAGAACATAATTTGAAAAGCACTGCCTTATATAAACCATCTGTTTCAACATGGTTTCCTCAATATGCCTCTTTATTTCTACTTCAATCTTGGAGCGTCTGCTTCATGCCTGGATTGCCTCCCTCCCTATCTTTCTTCCTCTTCTTTCTTCCCATTCTTTATTTCCTTCCTTAATTAAAACACATATTTTTCTTCAAGATCTACCCTACCTCCATAAACTTCTAAATTACCGCTATTTTGCATGTTAGAAGAATTTGTCAGGAATTTGTCAGGACTAGTCATTTTCCATTTAATATATTCATTTTAGATTGCTTGACATATTTCTTAAATGTATGTAACTGGCTTCCAAAGCAGATCATTTTCTCTCACATAGGAAGGATTTGGTGCTAGTTGATACTGTACATATATGTGCTTTGCCTTTATTTTTTAACTTCTGTATTAAAGAGAGTAAGTCAAACAAATAAACAGAATACCCTTAACACCTCTTTCTTGTAAGAGTAGAAAGTAGAAAACAATAATGCATTTCATTTGGAACATGGTTAAGATTGAATGTCTTAGTGACCAGTGGGACAATTTTTAAGGACTGCTACTATTAATATTTTATTACTGCTCCAACTGAATATTACAGAGAATTTATTATTAATAACTGTAATATTTTCTAGGGTTTTGGGGGGCTTGTTTTCTTTAACACTGGGGTCTACTGTAGATGTCTGCAGCCTGGGAGGTTGGGCATAAAGCCAAAGCATGAGCACAGTGTGTAAAATCAAATAAAGTATATTTTACAAGGCCACCTACAAGATAAATGGAGGGCTTATAAAGGGAATATTTGCTACAAGTAAAATTCACTTCTATTGAATATTGCTTCAGTTATAGAGACAGGAAGAAATAGTTACTCCTTTCCTCTTTGCCTCATTCCTATCTAAAGAGGGGGAATTTTGTCAAAATAAGATTCTGTTCACCCCACTAATGTAAAGTTGACTTTTGAAATGTACGAATGCTGACTATGTTGAAAAACCTGCACTATTTTAAAAGATGAAAAATAAAACCACTTACGGGAATGCAGTAGTGGGAGATGGTCCTCATATCATTTTCAGATACGGAAAATACTTAAAACAGCTATTTTCTAGACAGATATTCAGACATAATTCATCCTTAACCAAACAAGTCTGATATATATCTCCCAAATGCTTTAAGAAACCATTAAAAAGTATAAATAATGGTTTAATAACAAAACTGGTCAAGAGTTAATTTACATCTAAACAGGTTACAAAGCA